GTTCCACCTCCTCCACCAGCTCCAGCTCCTTCCCCCCGTGACGTGACATTCCACGTCCCAATTGCGTGTCCATTGCCAAGGTCCAGTCTGTCCGAGACCATCCCTCTCCCTGCCATAGTGGCAACGCTCCCGCCCCTCATCGATCATCCTGCGGATGGTGGGCCCACAGGACGGCGCCACGTAGCTATTTCGGGGCTGGGCTCGACCAGGTTACTAATAAAAAGGGGGCCTGTCCTGGCCCATCCCCCCCCCCCTCAAGCAGTATATATACGGGGTAGTATCTCTTGGAATCTCTCATTTACTTGATACAGCTATCGTGCTGTGACGGTTCCACCTGAAGACGGAAGCTTGTGTTGCCTCCGAAACGTCGTGATTTTTATTTTATTTTTATTTTACTTTTATTAATTTATTTTTTTTATCTACGTGACTTTACCGAAAAAAACCTAAGAATGTAGGTTACGTGGGGTCACCCGGCCACCAGGCGCTTGCCGGCGAACACCACCCCCAGGTCTGGCTCCAAGGAAATGTCACGGCATACCTTGTCCGAATGAGGTTCTCAAATTTTTATATTTCAGGACAATTCATAAGGGGCTTTTGTTTATACCGTTATTTGACTGGAACCTCCCCCCAGACCTGTTTGCCAAGGGAGACTATACCAGGAGTACAAGGCTCCAGGCGACATCGCTCTGAGGGTCATTGGAACACATAAACCCCGCCACCACGCAGTGCCGGATTGCCCTAGTAGCAAAAGTAGCTACATATGCTACGGGCCCCGCACTTTCAAGGGCCCCACGCGAAATGCTTTCAAGCTATCAATTCCGGTTCAGTGATTCTTAACTTGCTCTATTACTATAGTACTATACTGCCTTCAACTATCATAAACCACTGGATGTTATTTGGCTGTATAACTAATGGATTAATACAATTGCTTTACTATGCAAGTATAAAATTTGTGTTATAATAGTTGTGTTTTTTATTATTTAGGGCCCCTTTATAACATATGCTACAGGCCCCGCACTAGCTTAAACCGGCACTGCCACCACGATAAGGTTACGATCCTTCGGTGGGGCCGAAACGTCGCCTATTATTCACGTCTTTCCTTTGAGGCCACAATGTTATCGAAGAATGCGTTGGGTTTGCGTTAATTCTGCTTGCGTGGGCTCTGCGCTCTCTCTCTCTCTTTGACTCGAGGCTCGTGACGTCGCCTCAGTGCAAGTTGGCAGCGCGCCAGATCGGTCATCATCATCTGGCACGTGCGGGAGAGAGGGGGGGGGGCGATCGAGGCGAGCGCTTATTCATGCGCGCACATTTGTCCCGCTTACAACATTGCATCATTACTCATGTGGTGTGCAAGGGTGTGCATTGGTTAGCGTGTGTGCGCTACGAACCCGGCGACCCGAGTTCTATTGCCGCTCACGGCCAACACCCAACCACGATTATATGAAACGGTCCTGGGCCTCCTCTAGGTCGACTCAGTCTCAATGAGTACCTGTCGCGGTGTGTAAACATCGCCACTAGGGAGACAAAGGCGGCCGGGCTTGTTGCTGGCCACCCACCCTCTAGTGTGCCGTACCGGCTAAGGTCCTCGCTAACAGCACTTGCCTCAACAGTCTAGTAAGGGAGGCTATACGGGGGTCTTTGTCTTTGGTGTGGAGCTTGTGGGGAGCGAGCGTGAGTTGTGGGAGCGGTGGTGCAGCGGTTAGCGGAGATGTATTCCCATTCACGACCCCAAAAAAAGGTAATTTAAATTGAAACTCAGCCTTAAATCAGCACTGGAGACAAAGGCGATGATCGGACGAGGTGTTATTCAACCACCCCCCGTGTGCAATGTGCCGGCCTTCATAGGTGCTCGCTAACAGCACTCGCTCCCAATAGTCGGACGAGGGATGGACGGGTGATCTTCGTCTTTGTGGATCGTGTAACAGAAAACATGCGTGATTCATAACTCTATTTCATAATAGTAGGCTATCCATGTTTAACGGGTTCATCATTTATACCTACCGTCTTCATCATTTCAATTACACATTATTCAAAGGCACTAATAGGCCGCGCTCGATGCCATTTCTGTACGAAAGGTTATAATTAGCGTAAAGTTGTATGTATATTTACATTCGTTAATTGGTGAATTCATTACAAGGGAAACCCTTTCTAGGATTGAGATACAGTACTCCTCCTGGACCGCATGTCTCCGATAGGTTTAAACGGTTACGCCGTAAAATACCAATTTGTCTAACACTAAGCGTGGTGGTCAAACTCCCCCCACCATCCTCCCCATTGCCGGGGAGATGGAGCCGTCATCCAAAAGTGCATTACCAGAGACTTGTATCCATGCCTACAACGTGTGCATGAATACGAAAAGGCAGAATCACGCGCGTAGCCTCTGGCAGAGCAATTGCCATCGTAAACACGCAGCGCGACGTGACGGGCGCGGCCAACCAACGATGTTTGTCATTTTTGTTCACGTGGACATTGCATAGCTGGTGGTTTATTTTAGGCTGAGTCGACCTAAGAGAGGCACAGGAGAGATGCGCACGTAAAGTATATTTGCGGGTTGGCGAGATCGAGGTGGGGTCGGTGGGCAGCATTGCTTCAGATATTAACTCGTGCCACGTTCAGCACCTCGACGCGAATGGAACTTTGTCAAGGTGCATTCTGGGTTCTTGGCGGAACGCGCTAACCGCTGCGCCACCGCTCTCCGCAGCAGGGCACAAACATCATACCCAGTACAATACAAACAAAAACAACGTTGCTGCTTCGAATACTGGACTATTAGTGCAATAAAGTTCATTTAAACCCGCATAATTGGACGCGAAATGTATTTTGTCCGTCAGTAAGTTAGTTATGTTCGGTCATTTCTAATTACAAATGATACGTTACCAAACATAGTCAAATACTGTATACGCGAAACATTCTGTGTGTATACAGTGTGTATATATTTAGATATATAACAGCAGTGGTCCTAAGATAGACTGCCTCTCGCCATACGGATGTGGAATATCCACTGATGACTGCACCCCGATGACTCGAGACCCCTGAATGGCAAACAACAACGACACTGAGATTCGGGACGACGACGACGATGATGATGATGACGGCGACGGCGATAAACGTCGACACTAACCGTAGCAGACAACGGCCACCACCGACCCAGCCTGTGCAGTCGCGTACCAATGTGAACAGATGGCACACGACTGCCGCGTAACTCGTTTCAGACGATAAATAAAGGCCACCTTATGAGCCGTCATGTTTCGCTCTTCGACTAAAAACCTCGTCTCACAGAAAGGAACGGGGTTGGTGGGGGTGGTGAGGAGGAAGCGAAGTTTAACACGAGTAGGGTTTCGCGAGCAATATCATTCACAATAAAGTTTTTTTTTTGGTTAGACCGCGTAGATATGTGTCGTTAACCCACCACCACCACCCGACACAAACAATTAGTAAGGTTTCTCACGCGAACACAAACGTGCCGATTAAGTCACTGGTTCAGCGCACCGGTTGTGCGTTGGAGAGTAAGACCCACTCGCATTTACAATGCACCCACGTTCCCCCGGTGATTGTCAACTCTGGCAAGATCGCTCGATGAAGCCCGCTGTAATCGTCAGCGAACACGTCGCGCTCTTAATTGTAAATGTCGTGGGTTTTACTCGACGCAGCACCCAGGCTGTGTGCTGAAGTCGAAACTAATGAGTTCAGTTTACGTGACAACCCCTTACTTATTGGCTGCATCGGTTGGGTTTGATGGGTTAACGACACGTGTATATTTACGCGATCTAACAACACACATTTCTATTTACGCGATCCAACTCCACCGCCAAAAAAAACCCTCTGCATTATGGAAGCTAAGCTATTTCGAAGCGAGAGAGGAAATCCAACTCCCCACCCCCCGTTAAATATGGCATTAATCGGACACGCTCATCCCAAGAGTGGGGGTAGGGGGGGGGAGTTAGACGCAGACTCGAATGCTCGCGCTGCCTACTCAGTCGGCTATAAACGCCGCTCAACTATCCCAGCCTTGCCCAGAGCTCCCTTCGCAACCCCATCCACGTAGACCCCCTCCCCCCCTTCTCTGGTTCATATCCCCTCGGTTCCATCCATCCAGCCCCCCCCCTCCTCCACCCACCCCGCCTCCCCCCCCCCACAACCAACGCGCTAAAAGGACCACCCGACCATCACCAACCACGACCGCCCCAATACGATCGCGGCGCGGTTGATATCAGCAGCTGTTGTGTACGGGGAAGAGGCTTTGGGTGGGCGAACGCTGCCCCTCGGCCGCAGTTTCCTCGTCTCCGTCTTTGTCTTCATTCTGTAATCATCACCCACCCGTCAACCCTTTCTCTCTTATCTCTCTCCCCACCGCGGATTCAGGCTAGTCACGCTTACAAACGTCCGTGTGTGTCTCTCTCCACGTCCCTCCCTCCCTCTCTCTCTGTCCACCCTTCCCGAACGTTAATCGTATTCATTCCTTAATGTCCACGGTTCAAAAATGTTCGTATAATCTGTGTCCACGTCTCTCTCTGTCTCTCTCGCTCATCATTCCCCTTCATCTCTGGATGTCCACTGTCCCGAACGTCGCTGCGTCTCTCTCCCCTCTGCCTCTCTTTCCCACTTCCACCTTCCAATCCGTGGCCCGCTGCTACTGCTGCTGTGCTTGCGTCCCACTCTTAACACCACCGCACAGTCGTCTTTGTTCAGATCCAGACTACCCCGCTCGCTTTGCTCTCCACACCGCTCTCGCCCCGTACCTTCGCGTCCTCTTCACCCTCCCCATCCTCCTCGCTCAAATCCTCTACTTTTAAAACGTATTTCTCCCCCCACACACACTCTCTCCATCCCATCTCCCCACAGCCCGTCTGCCTGCCACTTGCCCGGCTCCGATATGATGTCCGAGGCGCCCCAGACGCACAGCGCGCATCCGCCCGTCCCCCTCCTCCCTCCCCATCCCTCCCCAACCGCATAGGCAGACCCCCCCCACCCACCACCAGCACCACTCCCTGCAGCGTAACCCCACTTACTCGCCCCGGTCATCTCCCGTAAGCGGCACTGTGATGCCTCCGTCTCCACTGGACGGACGCCTTCTGGTGGCCGCCTCTTCGTACAGCCGCTTTAGCAGCTTCATCAGCATCACCAGCAGCAGCGGCGGCGGCGGGAGCGTGATCACAAGCAGCAGCAGCAGCAGGACAAGCAGCAGGAAAAGCAGCAGCGTCAACAGCAGAACCGTGCTCACATCTCAAACGCTGGCGACCCAGCAGCAGCTGAGATTCAAGCAAACGTCTCGTCGTCGCATCCTCGCGGTCCACTCGAACGCCACTACAGCAGCGGGAGCATCAATATCAGCAGCAGCAACAACTCCAGAAGCAACATCGTCACTATTAACAGCAGCAGCAGCAGCAGACATTCGCCGGCAACTCCAGGAGCTTGGCGATAGTTGTCCCACACCAGGTGACGAGCAGCGCTCCATCAACTCCACCGTCTTCTGCACCACCACCACCACCACCTCCACCACCTCCACCACCACGGTCCACTGCCAGGCGAGGCAGGTCAGCGTCAGCTACACGCGGTATATGCCCGCCACCAGGAGGGGAGGTCCCATTCGCTCGCTGTCCTGTGGATGCGGCGGCCCCAGCAGCTGTTGCGCCGGCAGCGGCGGCACCCCCAACGCGACGTCGTGCGTGGAGCGCTCAGCCAGTGCCAACGTAGCCGTGGTACCGTCCGGACGCTCGGGGCTGGGATTCCATCATCATCACCACCATCACCACCACCAGCAGCAGCAGCAGCAGCAACAACTTCAACAGCAGCAGCAGCAGCAGGATCACCACCATCACCATCGTCTCCAGCATCAGCACCTGTTTCAACACCACCAGCATCAGCAGCAGCAGCAACAGCAGCAACACAATCATCTGCATTATCACCATCACCATCAACAGCAGCAGCAACAGCAGCCGGCCGTGTTGGCCTTCTTGCCGTCCACGAGTGGACACTATGGACCTGAGGGTGGTAGAGCCTTGGGCCAGCAGCAGATCAACATCTGCCCGTCGTGCTCACGCCTCCTGCGGGACTCGCAGCAACAGCAGCAGCAACAGCAGCAGCATGGCATCGGAGCCGCTCGAGTCGGGAGCTCGGTGGTCGGTGCCTCCAAAGGCTCGCTGTCTTCCACGCTGGCGCAGGACGGCAAGGGCACCAGCAGCAGCACCAGCAGCAGCACCACCAGCAACGCGAGCGGGGCCATCTCCGACCATCAGCCGCCGCTCGCCCACCGCAATTCGTCCGCCTCGTCCGCGGCCGCGTCATCGGCGTCTTCGGCTTCGTCGTCGTCGACGACCACCCCGACCAAGACGTCGTCGACAGTGTCCTCGTCCTCCTCCTCCTCCTCGTCCTCCCCCTCCTCCCAAGCGGAGCCGCCGGGAGCGTCGGCGGTGCGAACCATCTGGCCGAACGAACTGGCCAAGAGGATCGCGAGGGCCACGGCTTTGAACAGGCGGAGTCATCACCACCAGCAGCACCAGCAGCAGCAGCAGCATCAGCAGGAGAAGCGCCGAGCGGGAGCCAGGCGCTTCGAGCAGACGCGGGGCGACGACGACGACGCGCCAGACGATGACGGCGTCGTCGAGGTCGGAGGAGCCGGTGGACCCGTGATCATCGACTGCAGGCCCTTCATCGAGTTCAACAAGAGCCACATCCGCGGCGCCGTGCACATCAACTGCACGGACAAGATCAGCAGGAGACGTCTGCAGCAGGGCAAGATCACGGTGCTGGACCTGCTGAGCGCGCGAGGTGGCGGTGGCGGTGGAGGAGGAGGCGGCGCGCACTTGGGCAAGGAGCGTGGAGACATCGTGGTGTACGACGAGGCGACGAGCGAACCCGCGTGCGTCCAGACCTCGCAGCCGCTCCACCTGGTGGTCGAGTCGCTCCGCAAGGAAGGCCGGGAGCCGCTCATCCTCAAAGGTAAAGGAGAGACGGTGATTTTCGTGGGCGGGGGGGGGGACTTCCCTTTTCGCTCGATATCATCCGGAACAGCGTTGCGTCGGATTCTCCGCGGATGAAATTGAGCACTGATTGTCGGTCGCTGATTGTTTTCGGTCGGAAGCCAAATCAACTCCACCACTCCCCCGGCCCCCCTTACTGAAAGTTCAGCCCCCCCCCCCACCAACCTTTTAAATCGTCAAGTTGGAAAGATGTTGGTGTTGTTGTTACAGCTTTTTTGGTCACACACACAGGAGGGTGGTGATAGCGGCAGCGGCAGCGTGCATTAGAGACAAAGGCATATCGGATCATTATGCGGTCTGTTTAGCGTGTTAACCTTTACCGCAGTCTTGCGCCCCTTAATACACATGGGTGTGATGAAACAAAGTAAGTTTCTACTCACGTGCCCGTCCTTAATTTGTGTTTTCGACGATTTACCTTCGATTAAAAAAAAACCTGCCCATGTCTCGCACGCCCCAGAAAGGGCATCTCGCACCCCCCCCCCCCCCCCCCAGCGTGCACCCAGGGTTAAGAAGAAGAACCGCTGCTCTAAGCATTTGTTTAAAGCTTGTTCATCACCGTGTCGTGCCCTCCCCGCCTACCCCTGAGTTATATGTGTTTGTGTTGCTATGCCTCCTCTCCCCCTCCATTTCAACGACGCCTCGCACTTGCGGGGTGCACGTGGTCGTTGTTGGGTCGACTGGACGTTCGGTCGGGTCACGTGTTCGCGCGCGTCATCTCAAACCGCCGTGCGCTTAATGCGTGCACGTTGTGCTGCTTACTTGGCGAGAAACAATCGCTGCGTTCTTCTAACGTTCACTTTCGCGGTTGTTGGAGGGGTTTTTTTTTTTTGGGGGGGGGGGGCTCTGAGACGTCTGTCTGTACCACCGGTATTGGACTTTTGTCCCCAAATTGGGGGGGCGGGAGAGGTCTATGAAAGTCCACCACAACGACGACGACCACGAAGTCGTAAGTAGCTGTGTGGAGAGCCACTCATGCTCCAACCCTCGTGTTTTTCTGATTAAAATAAAAACGTCAGTTCATCACGAACTAAAGACAAAGTACCGTAGTGCGATTGTGGCCATGCAACCAAAAGCTATGGCCAACATTGTTGTAAACCAAAACTACACAGACTCTCTCCTGAAGTCATCGTGTTGCTCGCAGACCTCAGGATTAGCATTTAGCTTCTGAGCATATTGCCAGACGCAAGAACAGAATCCCGATAAAGGTCAGGCAGCCAAATCCTCCATTGTTTACCTCTCCGTGAGAAATATAAGCATCAACGTTTGCAATTATGTTTTAAATCGAATCCGGGAATGCTCACTGCGGCAATCACAGCATCCATATGAATTATATATTCAGTTGCATTGCATGGAGGGGTGGATTGTCTGAACATTCTGCGCTGAGCCAGTTTGCCTCACGAGGCAGCGGTTCCGATTCCAGTTACTCTCTGTGGGACATTAACACGAAAAAATCAACAAGGACGTGGCATTATTGAAAAATGAGGCATCACCACAGCGAAAACCCACCAACTCCGCTTCCCCTGACGACATCATCTGGCTCATTCAGCTCACTGTAAAATTATAGTCGTTGTACATTAACATCAGCCATACGACGTAGAAGATTAACACAATTGCTCAGTGTTAGAAGAGATAGCCACGCTCGAATTCGTATCTACAGCGAGCCCATTGTGCGGCAATATACACGCGCAGTGTCAATGAAATTGCAATTTGCGTCGTGAAAATGGAAGTTGCTGTGCGTCAGTGGTTAACACGTCCGGCAGTGTACACGGGAAACCCCACAGGCGATCTGCAGGTCAACTTGAGGTGGGGTAGAGTGTGGGTATCCCCACCTCTTCAGCCAGCGTCGGAAGAGTCGGCCGAAACACCCTTCTTGGGTGGTCCTCGAAGTTGATTACTTTTTTCCTCCAAGCGGCGGTGTGAGAATGCACTTGCAGGGCTGTGCCTTTACCTTTGGCGTGATCTCTACACGCAATCTAAACGCACCAGTGTGTATGGTGGCCTGGAGGTGAAGTGGGTTGACACGTACCAGAGCGCCACTCGCTAGTTTGCGCGAACTTGACGGTTCGAATTTACTCGGTGATCCCATCATTTCAGTGAGGGGGGGGGGGGTTATTAAAGTCCGCCATCAGCTGGAAAGTTAAATATCTCGCCCGGTATACAGGAGTTCGTGGGTTCGATCCCGACACCCTGACGCCTGTATATTTGAAGTTTGCATGTTCTCCCAGTGGTCACGTGGATTTTTATTCTCCGGTTTTTCTCTCCCCATTTAGCATCAACATCACACGTTTAGACTATTTGGCTGCTGTAAATGTTCCACGTGGTAATCCATTTACAATTGAGCTATCATTTTGATGGCCAGCTCGCTTCTGAACAAGAGCTACATTGTAGCTCAGTGGGCCTTACCTGGTAAAACAACAAAACATGTGTATAGTTTTTATTTCAGTGAAAGACTCAGCTCCCTCGTCCGCAAGAGGAAGACGCAGCGTGTTGGGCTCACCGCCGCACCGTTCCCAACGTTTGTAATTGCTGCAAGTGAATGTCAAGTTAACTCGGTCTCATTAAAATAAAAAATTCCCGCAAACCAAAAATAACTGCACTCCTCAAAAGATAATGCGATTTCAGTACCGTAATACGAATGGGCACCGGCTTGATGAATTAAGGGAACACAGGCATCGCATGTCATTATGAATATTGCAGTTCATCTGCATAACGTTTCCAAACTGGTTAACTTGAGTGTCACTCCTCTAATTCTTAGAAATTGCCACTAAATCCTCCTATGCTTATGTGAGGCGTTATAAATATACGCTGCCGATATAAACTACAGTACGTTCATGTGCCTAAAGCATATTATATTGTGCAATAGCCATCAATGCCATGCCAAGCCCATATTGATGGGCAGTGGTGTTATCACCCATCACATTTTCTAACTCTTTTCGTTGTGCAATAATCCACGCTCGTTACCAGAGCTGCCGGGGCTTATTTGTATTTCCCCGTCACCATCCCACATGGTCCAGTAGCTGCTGCCGTCCCTCTCACTCCTGCACGTGTTACATATCTCAACGCTCCATCTCTGCGGTGGCCGGGCTCTTGGATTTGTTTCCCCCATTCGACGTCCGTTCCATCACCGGTCCTATCCATCGGCCGTCATCGTCGCTTACGAGGTCGCGCTCACTACACCTACAGTGCTTGCTACAAATGAACCACAACACCTTGACTGATCTCGTCAAGGAGAATAAACCATCACGTGCACTCCGGTCATCCTCGCAGCGGCTTTTGGCTGAGCCATCGAACAAAGACGGACGCCGCGTCGCGCCGCTTTCAGGTGCGCTTCTGCGGCCGTCTGGAACGTTCTTCCTTCCGATGTTAGAAAGCCACTGGAGCTATGTACTTTTAAATCATCTAGATTGAAAACTCATGTCGGAGCCCATTCAACATTTGTCAAATGTTGATATTATAAGCAAAATACATACGTCTCTTCGCATAATATTAAGTGCAGTACCTTCAAACCGGTCAACGTATGGGCCTTGCATACACATAGTATCCAGCATGATTTGTTTTATTAATCTCGAGAACAGTTTAAACATTCCGATATTGGAAGCAATTGGAGCTATGCACTTTAACATCTAGTTTGAAAACTCATTTCTTTCAAACTGCTTTTTGTGTTTAGATTGTTGTCCTTCCCCCGCATTTCCGATTAACACGGTTGGCTAAGTACGGCGCGAAAGAAGTTCAACATAGTAGATACATACATCCCGTCGAAGTGTCCTGCCCGAGCCCGTTGACACTGAATAACTGCCAATATGAGAGAGTATCTCTGATTTGTTTTCTTCCATCTCTGTGTAATTCCAAGGAAGCATCTCCTCAGGCATGCACCTCCCATTTAGTCGATATGACCGAATCAAATGCATATTACACGTGCAGCGTTTGACAGTCTACAGCAATATATCCTAAATATCACACAAGATTAATTTATAATGAAGGCCGCTCAAAATGGCAATCACTGCACAATTATTCCAGTGCCGTGGTTTACCAAGAGTATAACTCAGACAGGCAGATATATATTGATTATCATTTGACCTCATGCAGTCAATTTCTGAGTACTGCAGAGTCACGCGAAAGCCGGTTATCAGCCATAACAGCACAGTATCTTAGAACCGTGACAATGACAATTTGCATCATTTTATCATCCCACTGTTGGATGAAGACCTGCCCGCACCACTGTCGTGGAGATTGTTTTGTAACCTTATCTTCACTACCACTGGTCAGTGCCAGTTCGTGAGAGAGGGACCCAGGACCGGTTCAGATATAACTCGCCACTGATCTTAGCCATGACCAGGTATTGCACCTAGGCCGGAATTAGAATACATATTGACACATCCACCCCAATGTTCAAATATACTGAAAATGTCTCCCCCCAATATATTTCTATAAAATAGATTCATGTTTATATTATTGTGCTTATGGTTGTACTTTATGAATCCCTAATCTCTGCCATTAATTTTTTCATATTTTAAGCAGGAAATGGCAGGAAATTAGTTTTCAAATTTAGATATTTTTTTTCGGGGGGGGGGGCAGACCCCCTGGAAGATTTGGTCCTCCCCAATGTTGACTCCATGGCTATGGCCTTGTATTGAACTCAGGCGGTGGGGTTCCCATAGTGTAGTATGCCCCCACTCCCACTGCCCCCTCCCCCAGTGTTATACTCATCAATTAGTGTAGCTTTGCACTGTCCACGTGTGCAGTACGTTAAGTAAAATCCAGACATTTACACGTTCCTTCGGAGTGGCCAGGTAGGAACTTGGTTGGACAGCGCATTCGTGCACGACAGAAAGCTCGCGGTCACGTGATGCACTTCAACCAATCCGGGAGCGTACATGTTTGGGAGAGGTTATGCACGACAGACAAATAATCCCTGGTGGGCAGTGTGGAACTGTAGTTCCTACCTGTAATATTTGACCT